CAGTTCCTTCAGGAATTGCGGTGCTATCTGAGCTCCACAATCTGGCTGCTGATGGAGGGAGAGTGGCAAGAGGAAACCTCGATGTCCCAGTCAGGGGTGAGTCCTTCCATGTGCGTACAGCAGATTGCTGTAGGCTGCTCAGGGAGGAAAACATTTTCTACCTAGGGTACTATTTTTACTCCAGTAAAGGCCAGGAGTGGGTTCCTGGGCACTGGAAGAAATACAGCAAGATGACTGGTTTGGTGACAGAAGAGTGAGAGGTGCACACTCTCCAAAATGTTTGTAATGCTCATGCAAACACAGGCTTTCATCTTATTCTAGACTGTGCAAGACAGACGTATGGAACAGCATGAGAGCGGTATCAAAGCCATTAACCCTTAGAGCAGTGTAAATCTGTAGCCAAGTAAAGGGATTCAATATTGCATAGAGCTTTGCTGTGTGGTACTAGGAATTTATAAAAATCAGGTCACCAATTCCAGTTCAACTATAAAATCAATGTCCAGTGAAAGTAAATAGAAATGAATCTAAAACACGTTGTTGCAATTAATAGTGACAAATCTTTTTAGTCTCTAGTGCAGGCTGCTTCGCTAGACTATTTTTCCTGCATGGGTGGAAAGCAATTTGGTTAATGATCTTAAGCTAATAATTTGTAGCAGAATCAACAGTATGATATTCATGATACCTTTGAGGTGTCCTTCACGTTACGGATGTGATACTAATTTAATTCAACAATAGTGATCACCCACACTCATTACTTACTCCAGAGATTAAAACTTAAAAAATAATGGATATCTGCTGGAGTTGTAAATTTGGTGATACTAAATTTGAGTAGAAACTAGAATACTGATAAATATATTTTAAATCTTAATGGTTCTTCAGCTGCACAGCAAGTAAGATATATTTCAACCTATACCATTTCATACATCTATGAGAGAGGGAGGGTGATTTTTGTTACTTTTTTTTTTTTGACATGGTAGATTTGTGTTTTGTCTGAATGCAAAGCAGGGAAATCTGGCTTAAAGTACAGCTGTTTGCAGACTCTTTCTTTATGCTATTTTGGTTTGTTGTCTTATTTCTTTGAAAGGAAGCACTGTTTAATCAGCAGCTGAAGAGCAAACTAAGTTTAACTTAATTTATAGCAACAGGTTCATTTCACAAATCTTCATGGATAGCATCTTCTAGGCATGCAAACTACAAATTTCCTCTTCATTGTCTGGGGAATAAACCACTTAAGTAAGCACATTTTATATTATTTTGATTAAGAAATGACCTTTTAGTATTTTTATGACCAAGTGAGCCTTTAGATTATGATTTGTTATCCAGGCTATAAGCATTATTACATTTATTGACAACAGAATTGATTGCAGCACTTACTGTGTTATAATTTAATATTACATCCATTTGATTTCAGTGTGTCAATTCCGTGAAAGCCTTTCATATGGTCTCAGTTACAATTTTAGCCTCTCTCGAAGAGATGATTTTGTTTGTTTATTTTTGAAACCAAGCATATGCACCTAAACTAATCTGATTTTGACAACTAAGGAAGCTGGCCTGAAAAGTAAGCAATTCAATGTAAAGCAATGCTCACTCCTAACTTCTGCAATTTTTGATCGTTTATTTAACAATTACTTCCACGTGCCACTGGAACACAGCCACTTCTGCAGTAAGACAGACCAACCACTTACAGTGATGCCAGGGACATAGCCATTTCAGAACAGAAACTGAAGAAGTGTGTCTTGGCGAAATGAAATGACAGGGGAACTGAAACGCTGTGCTATGGAAGGTATTTATGTTGCCTGGATTATCTGATCTAGTTTGTTACTTTCCTTGGAGAATTCATGATGAAACCTGGCAGTACATCACAGCATTTATCATCTGTATTTTGTTATAATTTGTAGAAATTCTCACAAAGGGGAATTTAGTGTTGACATCTTATACTATAATTTCTTCAGGGATTTCGACTATTTTGTGCCCAGGATAAATGCAGATATTTGAATGATCCTTTTTAGTGCTCAAAAGAAAGGCAAAGCAGTACTATTCTTTGTGATAGATGAGCTAACCTGTCACTGCAGCAGTTCTCTCTCCTTGCCCCTGAAAGGCATCTTGAATTAGTCAGTGAAACAAACTTCACTGAGATCATTACATTTGCAACGAAATTCAGGCAAGTACCTCTCAGTGAGAGGGGCTTTGTGAGCAGGGAATGAAACATTGCACTGCTGCCACGTTCCAGACTGTGGCTACCAGCTCCGTGCATTGCTGGATCAATCACCTGGCAGCACAGGTGGCCTCAGGCCTAGGGGTGGGCACACAACCACATTTTTCAGAAGGCCAGAGTGCTAGGCCCAGATATGGACAGATGATACTTAATTCAGTGTAAAGACTGTTGATGTAAAACATCTGTATGAGTTCATACCAGGTTAGTACTTTGCATCATGTAACTGGGGAGGGGAGGTCTGCTTCCCTACCTCTGTGACCCCTAGTAGGAAACCCTAACTGGTACCTCAGGGCTGGGGCATGATGTAGCTGGAAAATCTGCACAAGCTGTTTTTTTTGTTTGTTTGTTTAGATTTTGGTTGGTCAGTTGTTTTTGGTGGGGATTATTTGGGAAAGCAATTAACTGGAAGACTGGGATTTACATGACATAGGTACAATGAGCTTAACTTTAGTTGTATAGAAAGTTAATTTAGAAACTAGTCACTGTAATAACTCCATTTCTCTATTAATTCTGGCAGGAACCTTTAAAAACAAGTTAAAAGTAATATTTTCCAGTACTCCTTTTTTCAGATTAATTTCATGCCAATTATTGCATTACTTTTAGCTGATAAATATTCAGAGACTAAAAGAAACCAACAAGATGGATTTATTCTCCCACACTACAAACAAATTTTTAAAATATTTTATATAACATAATTAAATGCTGTTTGTTGCTTTCAGAATCAGATCTTGGGACATGTTAATTAATTGCTTTAAGAGGACGGAAAACATGTTTCAGAGAAAAAAATTAAAGACTCAGATACTTATCTGTAATGTTCAACCTTGTTGACTAATAATGGTTCCAAAATAAATCCTACCTGCAGAAATCCGGTGGCACCATGCCATAAACATTTATCCTGTCACAGAGCTCTAATGCGATAGTCATTGTGAACCAGCCCGTGCTAAGCCAAGTGTTGGATATCTTCCTGAAAGCAAAAACATAATTAAGTTTCTAGGCTGCCAAATAATTCTTGAGATATCTGAAACAATTTCTGGGCATTTCTTTCATTCTTGTGAAAGGTTATGAAAATTGGGCAACCAAGACTTGCTTGCTCATTCATCTTTTAATGATTTTTACTAGTGTTTTCTGTCAGTGGACTAATTATGCAGAAACTGCCCTTGCTGTAATTAATTTTAGGCACAGGAATGTTAATATTTAGGTGACCTTTTGGTAAGTTTACCTTAAGTTACTGAAACTTCACGTCCTATATTTATATTCTTCTGCTAGTAATGTACTGGGAAAACACCACCCATCTGGAATCACTTAATGGAATTTGTAAATCAAGTAGTCAGGAAGACATCACGGGAGATGAAGAGGGCTGCTTAAAATGCTATGTGCCACAGCATACAGCGCCTGTCTGCCACAGTAAGTGATGGCCTCAAGTGCTTGGTCTCATCACCTTTCCTCACACCTTGGTCCATGGTTTGGTTTCTAGAAGCTCCCAGCCCCTCACTATGGCTGCTGGCAGGAAACTTTGTTGGCTGCAGCTATGCCTGTCCCATAGCCAACCTGGGAAACCTTCACTTAGGCCCTACCCCCACCACCTGCCCCAAGTCTCATTCCCTCCTGGTGGGCCCTTTGAATTTGACTGCCAAGTGCTGCAAGGGAGCCCTCAAAGGCAGTTCCTTTCCTGGCCTTGTCTGCAGGCTGGGAGAAATCTTTTAAAAGAAGCATAACTGATCCCAGCATTATTTATGCAAAATCAGCTCATATCCTCATGTAATCTCTCACAGTTCTAAGAAATTTACTATTTGTGCTTAAATTGTGCTGTATCACAGGTTCTTGCCTGCAAAATGGCATCAGTAATGCTTCTTCTTTCTAGCACTTGCTCATCACTGCTGTTCATTGTGTAAGAGCTGGCTGCTGTAATGGTTACAGGTTGTCTGGCACATGCACTGAAAGCCCCAATCCTGTGTTAAGTTCCTGCACTGTCCCTATGCCTGGGGAGAGCTGGTTGTCTTGGAATGGGAGGACCAAGGACATGCTGGTGAGGAGCACATCTTAAAGATGCAATTGCATATTTAGGGACAGCCCTGCAGGACCAAGTCAAGCACCTCTGTTAGAAATGGGGTCACAGTCCTCAGCTCTCTTCTGGAGGTGGGTATTTGTCCCTGAGAAAACAAATGCATTCAGAGGTCTCCTTTGAAATACTATTAAAGAAGGAAAGAGCAGGTCTCTCTGATAGCTACTTACTCATCTAGAAAAGTAGTGCAGAAGAGGTTCAAACTCACCAGCCTTCAAAAAAGATGGGCTTAGATTCCTGGCTTCAGACTGTCACAATGACCGGTGAGTCTCCTTCCATCTCTTACTCAAGCTGAGGCATTGCAAGAGCTAAGTGTGCAGGCTTGTGTCAGGTAAAATGTTGTGAGCCTTTAAGATTTGAGGAGTGCCTTGTACTGAGGTCTCCTGTTTCCTCAGTGAATTAAGACTACTGCAAACTAACAAAAGTGGTGGTATCCATGTCTGCTGTTAAAAAGGCACTTCTAAACATAAGGGTATTCCGTAACCAGAAATGCCTAAAGGATGCTGGGGAGCCTGTGTGCTTTGCCGTGTCCTTTGCTGGTTACCTGGTAATGTGTAAGCTCTCAGAATGTATGACTTCACTGCTCCTGATGGCTTTCAGGCTAAGCTAGCATTTGGAGAATAACTGATTTAAGCATCTCATTAGTTCCAATTATGGAGCTTTATCCTTATCTGCATTTGCACTTAAGCTTTTTTTTTTTGGGGGGGGGGGGGGGCTGGAGGGGGGAGGAGAGGGGAGAGGAAGACAATTTATCACAATGTAGTAGCTGGGTCGTAAGCTCAGCAGAGGCCTTCAGGCATGGCAACAATACAAACCAGTAAATAATTTCTGGCTCAAAATTATTAGGGAAGGGATGGGTAGGGAAAAGCCTAAAAAATTGCTTTTCTGCCACTTGAGAGTTTCTGAGCCTATGAATCACCAGGTAATTTAGGAACATACTCAGACTGTATTTTGGAGCTTGTACAAGGTGTTGTTCTAGGTGCCTGAGACCTTGCATCCAGAACTGAGGGAGCAGTTGCACTTAGACCACGACCTAGGCTCTGCACACATCAGGAAAGCTAGTTAGACTGTCTGCTGGGTTAGTTTTCTTTTTGCTTACACACTTATTTTGCAATTTAGTGTTTTCAGTAAATCGGAGAATATCTGTATTTAAGTAAGCTTAAAAGTCAAACAATAGAATAACGATCTAAAAGTATACTCAAGTACTACTTTGGCCTCTTTAAATACCACGTCTGTAGGACAGCAATATAGAAACAGGGTTACAATGTCTTGCCTTTTCATAAACGCTGTGAACAAGATTCCAACAAAAGAATACTGTTTTTATACCTAATCAGCTGTAATGAAAGAATATGAAGAACTGTCATGTGCTTATTAGGGGAAATTATCAGATATTCTTTTATATGATGAACTAACACACTGTGCTGATAATTCTGTAGTGCACACTAAATTACAATTAAAGGCCTTTCTGCTCCACCAAAATCTCATTTATAATCTCTATGGAAATACTCTTCCTGCAGTTATTTCATTTATGCTTCCTTTATCTAATTACTATAATATTGGTCCTGAATCATATTTTCTTAATGTACCCTTATTCAATTATAAAGTTATTTTCAAGTACAGTTACTTTATAATACCAAGTATATTGCTCTGCAGCCTTCGTCATTCACTGTACTATTTAATTGGCAATGTTTTCTGAAGGTTTTCCTTCTTTTCAAAATCAGCTTTTTATTGTAAAGCACAATACATCCAATTACCTTTTTTCTCATCATTTTCAAGACAGAAAGGAATGGTTTGATTATTGCACCCTTGCAATCAGATTTCTCTCTCCTTCTTTTTTTTTTTTTTTTTTTCCAGGCACTAGTGTCGAGAGCTCAGCAGAAACCTCCCAGGGAACAGCATCATCCTGGGCTGTACAATGTTCTGCTCCTGCCCCCACAGCTACATAAGTGTTCTTCCCTTAGAAAGTCTTTCCTACCCATGTTTCTTTTCATCTTTCCTTCTTTTCCTGTGCTGCCTATTCATTTATTTTTTGTCTCCCATTTTAAGTGTCTTAGTCCTTCAAGTATGCTGTATGTACCCTCTAAAGCAGTGGTTCCTCTACAGTAGAGCCTGAAATTTCTTAAATGCAACAGGAGCTGTTCATGAATGAGGCTGAGTTTTGCTAGATCCAAGCAGCACTGATTCATGCTGGGAGTTCAGGGTGCCCACGACTGAGCCCACTATAAACTTGTTATAACATCATTAATGTCTCAGACTCCTTGAGAATGTTTCAGGAGCCAAGACTGGGCCTGGTGCCTGTGCAGAAAAAGAAATGCTTTCATTCCGTGCTTAGCTGTAGGTCTCCTGCTCCAGATGGGTAATACAGAATGAGAAAGCAGCAGCCTGCCTGAAATTGCACAGCAAGAGTCAGGAAAGGAACAGGACCCCAGCTCCTCATGGCAGAACCGGCCAGCTCTTCCTCAAAACGGGACTGGGAGCAGTCCCATGGTGAGAGAGTCAGCTGGGGCACAAGGAGGCACTGTGCCTCTGACCCCTAGGGCTGGTGGTAGCCAGTTACAGCTTTACCACAGCTTTGTGAATTATAATGCCTTTGTAATTACTGGCCATACAGATAATCCGTTGTGTTTTTCTTGCTTAATTCCCACAGATTATAACCTTCTCACTTCGCTCGGCTCTGAGTGAACAACTCTGGTAGAAAATCACAACCACTGTTTAGAGGATGAAGAGGAAAGGACCTTTAACAGTAAGAAGCTGAACAAGTTACTGTGTGCTTTAAGTAAGTGTTAATGCAAGTCAGACAAGTATTCGGATACTTAGTTTGATCCACTGTAACTGAGCTGAGCTCTGCAAGCCAAGCACATGGGATATGACAAAAGACAGCAAATGCTAACCAAAGATGCAGTCACCATCAACTAATAGGATACAGGAATTTCCTGTGCCACGGGCTCTGCCTGATTGTACAGCCCCAAAGACAAGTCTGTGCCCTCGAGCCCTCTGTCCACAGAGGATTGAGCCCAGCTTCAGGCTGTGCTGTATATTTTTGTAGAATTAGAGAATTTTACCATGAGTTACTGCACAATAAACCCACCTCTTCATTTGTACTGAAGTGGGGACCCTGTTCCATTTTTTACAGCTGCATATTTAATATGTAAAAAAATAGGAGTTCATTAACGATAAACGTGTTTCTCTCTAGGAAGTCTTTGGCTTAAATGCCCATTTTCAAACATTATATGTGAAAATACTAAAGTCCTGCAGTGGGTCACTTATTAAAAATTTGATTTGAAGATCAGCCTACAAGTCATAAACAGTCTCGTAAAGATGTAACTATTGTAATAACTTTCCTTTTCCCAGTTGGAAATATATGATGAACTCCTCTGAAGCACCTAATGTATGACTAATGTTTATTTGTATTACAAGCAGCTTTACAGCTGCAATGTTCCAAGAAAGCTTAAATTCAATAAACAGCTATTATAATTCATAGAACAGTGGCATTTCCTCTGTAAGAAAATATAACCTATCCATTCTGATTTTTTCAGAATCCAAAAAGAAAAAAAAAAAAGGAAACTTTTAGGTATATTACCCCAAAGTGAGATTTAAACAGCTCCTACCTCCATGGCTATATAGGCAGCACAGCCAGACTCTGGTATTCTAAGTTGATGCGGCAATACTCCACAAAAATTATTTTGATGCGTAATTTTTCCTTATGTTACAAGTGATGTTATTTGGCATGTTATACCATATTACAACTCATGCAGCAGAGGATTTAATGGGTGTGATAGTCCCTCTGAGCAGATCTGAAATTGGTACATATAAGCTACATTATTTTTCTGCTGTATGACTTCCCCCAAATGTATCCACATAAATTTTCTCACCTGTCTTTCCCAGTTTCTCGTTTAAAAAGGTCATCAAATTGAAGCATCTTGTGGCGAGAAATCATATATGCTTTTAATTGAGGCAGTATCTGATTCATCAGCTGCAGGTTGTTATATACCAAGCCTTTACCATCTCTCCTCATGTAGCTGCTAGGACCCCAGAAGATAAACACAGCACCATGGCTCATATTTAAGAGTTCGTTGCGGTTTCGCAAAATCCTCTGAATACTGGAGTGTGCAATGACTCGAAGGCTCGTTTTGTTTCCAACATCTCTTCCATAACCTCGAGTAGGTGCATCATTCATTCGTATTACGCACTCTGTCTCGTCGATTCTGTCACCTTGTTTACTTCCCAGAAGGTGTCCAGAACTGGTTACCAATGCACAGCTCTTGCAATGCATTTTTAAAGGCTGCAAAGACAGACATACTCAAAATTAGCTGTGAACACCCTCCCATTCACTACATGATAACCGTAACTAGTACTTTACATAGACATGGAATATTTTACAATGAAAATCTCAGAGGACTTTTTATAAATCTCTTTCAGCATTCTTCCCAAATAACTGGGAACATTCTACCTGTACCTTTTATAGAGAGGGAAAATGTGTGTAACCCTTACAGTTCTTGGTGGAATTGAATCCAAATCCTCCTTTCCACTGCTGCTTAACCTTCATATATAGTAATGACAATGGCTTCTAAACTCTTCACAGCTGCATAGCATTGTACTTCTTCTATTTGCTATAAATGAGCTCTAACTGGAGTATTTCGGATTCCTCCTCTTCCAGTTTTTGCATGAAATAATCATTTGTAAGTCCTCATAAGCACAAGTGTGAATAGCTTTTCAACTCTATCGTCAGGACATCTTGCTAAGGGAAGAGAATTATGTCTTGGTCTAATCCTTCCATGCTATTTCCAAATCAGCACCATAACCACTGCACTGCTCTCATACTTCTGTTGTGGTTCTGCCATCAGAGCTGGTCATTAACGTCTGCATAGCTTTTACATGACAGTGAGTTTAAAAGTTACACAATAAAATGGAACAGGAGGGGCCTGTTCAGTGAGTGTCTGACCTAACAGAATCGCGAGACTACACCAAGCTTTCATGAAAATGCATTATTAATCGTACTACTGAATTAAATAAATACATAAATAAATATATATAAAAATGAGGAGTATGTAAGCTTATCTGCTGCCCAGCATGAGAACTGAAAAGGAGCAAAGGGTTAACAGCATCCCCAAAGTGTTGATTTCCAACAAGAATACAGCAAACTGAGACATGAAGACTGTCTGAAGGTGTACCTCCGTGATCCTCTACGAAACCATATCTAGCAGCATCTAAAGCCAGTAAGACCAAATTACAGACCATACAGACTGTGCATCCCATGCAGGGAGAAAGCAGTAGCCTGACTTGCTGTCCTGACTTGGCGTGCTGGCGTTTCTTGCCAGAAGAGACAAACCAACCAACTGAACACAAACTGAACAACTGAACTATGGTTAATGACAAAAATAAAGACAACCTCAGGGAACAAGCTCAGTCAATCAAAATGACTGTGAACTAAAAAGACTGCGGTTCTAACACCTTCCTGGTGAGTACTAGACTTGTTTAATTCCAGAGCCTCCAAGGCAGACACACAATGGACTGGGAGCAGTCATCCCCTGCACTAGATGCTGGCCTGATCCAGCACTACTCGTTGGCTCCAAGTTCTACCAACCTAAACCCACCCCTGACATCACAGGCCTCAGCACCTCTCCTGATCAGATCCCATGGCTCTCCATGGCAGCTCGTTGTTTGTGCCACTACAAACAAAGCTAGCGTGTCCTCAAGTGTACACTTGATGGATTTATAGATGAGGAGCAGTTAGTACAGCGGCATATAATTATACTTGGTATCGACCACATACATATAGGCAATAAATAATTAAATCAGTGTGTTATGATGCGCAACTCAAAAAACTCTACAGGTCAAAACAAGACATAGCCTAGGTCTGAGATCATCTTAACGCCCTGTTTGCAAATACTTCAGCATCCAGTATTTGAAGGAGTTGCTTTATTTAAGTAATGTTTTTAATTCTGAAGGAAATAAGGGGTTGCAGTCTGAACTTGTTTTCTATGAGAACAGCTAATGAGTGATTGTTTTTTTTTTAATTAAAAAAAAAATAACTAAATTATACCGTTTCTTTAGCTATACAACCAGTAAGCTTTGGGTCTCAATTTCCCAAACAATGTCTTTTTTCTTTCACATACATGGACCGTAATCCACAGCTAATGATATGAGTAGAAATGTTCATGCTTTTGTGAGCCAAGGCTTCTAATACAGTATTTACATGCGTTTTCCTTTAAGCTTTCATCTGACACTTTGATAAATTACCTAGCAAAAGGCTCTAAGGTGAACTAGCTTCTCCACCATCATGCATGGGAAAGCAAGCTGAAGTGCTAATGAGGTTAAAGAAAATGTAGTCGGCACCAGTGTTAATCACATGGGTTTGAATATCCACATTGCGAGACATTTTCACCTAAAACAATCTCTGCTGGTTTCTGGCCTACATGTTACTTGTTTCTTTTAAAAGTCTGCCAGAGAATATCATTTGTAAGGAAATGAGGGTAACCACAGTGAAGCTGTTGAAACATTTTTTGTGGGGTGAGGAGGGAAATGTCAACATTTGCTAGATTAACATTAACACTCCCAAAACATCTGTCCCACATCTTGTTTGAAAATGGCTCCTTTTGGGAAAAGGTCTTGGTACTGAAGCATTCATGTATTACCCAACTAATACTTCAGTGATGCATGGGGGCTGATAACTTGTGCCTGTTCCGGGCAAGTCATTTACACTCACCTCACTGAGTCTTTCAGTCTGAATGTACAAAACTCACACCTAAAATTGTCAGAGGAATTCACAGCCAACAGCCACAACATTCTCATACCAGCTGTCTCTGAGGCCCTGACAATATTGAAAGCAAGGAGAAAAACCTGTTGGCCGTAATATCATTGGGAAGGCAGTGGTTGCACCAGAAATGTCATCTACTTAAGCAATAATAATGGAGGCACAAGGCATTGCTTTGGGATTGATGACCAGCTGGGAAAAGTTGATGGCCTGAGAATAACCAGGGGCCATTAAGCCAGAAGAACATTAAGTCCACAGAAAGCTCTCTGCTAAGGTAATTATTACAGTGATATGTGGAAAAAAAGCAAGCCAAAAAAAGCAAACCCATGACATACGAGTTATATTTTAGGTAGGCAGTGCAACCCTTACTTCATTAATCTTGCTTCAAAATGCCCAGAAAAGTGAGAGGTAGGTGAGTTTTATGGCACCTCTATTAGCTACCTTGAAACATAACACAGAACACATGTAAAAGCTGCTACCATTTAATGGCACCCGTTGTCACCAGCAATAAGCAGCTATGTTTTCATGTGCACCTGAAGTACACTGACAGCACCTTGCACACAGAGCACGTGGCCACTTCTACAGCACAAGTCAGTCGTGTCAACACGCCGGGCACTTAGTGACAAACTGCCTGAATTTTTTCTCTTACTTCCAGTCAACCAAAAATTCACAGGGATAGAGGGGAAAAAGATTACAAGAAAGCAAGCTGACTGTGCTAGTACCCTAGGAGCTGGCAAAATGAGCTGGTGCTTTTCCCTGATAGAAGGGCTGTCCCCAGTGAATGAAGGGCGCAGGGGAACCTTGCCAGGTTCTGGTAAACCCTGAAACAGCTCCGTGGTGGCCATGACAACTGAGCACAGCCTGGCACAACTGTAACTATCATGGGCCAAAATGACTCCTGGAAGCTGTCACATGTTACAGCCCAGTCAGTACTGCTGCTATACCACATACTTCTGGCTTGTTTAAAAGCAACCAACAAGCAAACAGCAACAACAACAACAACAAAAAAGTCAGAGTTGTTCCTGTATTTTCCAATTTGAGACAATCTCTGCTGTGCTATTGACTTCAAAATCTATGTTGTCCAATGATAGAAAAATGTTATTTTCAGACACTTTATTGCTCAAAAAAAATCAATGGAAGAATGTTATTCCTGATTCAAAATATGTTACTCTTAGATACAATTATTTTCTCTGTGATGAAATCAAGTGATCAATTTTTATTTATTTATTTTGCTTAAAAAAGGCCTTTGATTTTAAAGCCAAGATTTTAGAAAACAAGACAATTCCCTCCAGTAAAATAAGCAGCACTGGAAAGCACACTTCTTCCTACTGAGTCCTTAATGACCTACTTTCAAGACCCCTGGGTTCAGATCATTCCACTATCAGGAGTATAAAAAAGTTTCCTTTCTATAAATAAAAAAAATCACATATTTTATCTTGGCAATAATGACCTGGCCAAAAAAAAAAGAAAAAAAAAAATTATCTTCTGGAGTGGAGAAAAGCTCATTACTGAGTTCAGCAGAATAAGACCACCTATCAGTTCCTTAACACCAACATTCCTAATAGATACAGCTGGAAATATTGCAGATGATTTCCAAGTGTATTGGAGTGAGCAAGAGACCGAGAAAGATTTAAAAATATCCAAATTCCTTTTGGATGAATGACCTTTAGCTAAACATCTGAGACTGAAAGCGCAGACCGTCAATGAGGCTGCTCAAGTAACTGAA